TCCTCCTCCTCCTCCTCCTCCTCCCCAATCCTCCTGCTTCAGGCGCCCGGGACCTGTGGCGCTGGCACTCGGGCGTGACGGACTCCAGGGACTCGGGGTGTGCGTCGAACCCGAGCAGGCCGCCAACGTCCGCGCGACCGAGCGCGCTCAGGCGGCGCACGGCCAGGTTCAGGTGCTCCTGCCCCGGCAGGTCCTGACGGCGGACGAGACGAGAGGCTAGACGAGGCGAGACGAGACGAGGCGAGACGAGGCGAGACGAGACGCGCTGAGGAGTCCCACCCAGGGGAGGAGGAAAACAGGCCGAGTCCAGTCAGCGCGGAGCAGCCGTCGCCGCGAGGGATCTTATGTGCCGTGCTGTGTCGGTACCCTGCAGAGTTTCTTTTTCCTCCTGCAACGACACGCCCTGCGCAGCCTCTGGGAGACGAAAGTGGGCGAGAGCCGCACGTCTCAAGTACACTGTTGTGCCAGTCCTCTGCAGATCGTTTCGTCTAGGCGCCACGGGGCAAGAGTCAACAAACAAAAAAACAGGGGAGCCTGAATGGTGCACGAGCAGGCTCTTCCTGAGTCGCAGAGGTGGAATGAAGAGAGGGTAGGATGAGGAGAGAAAAAAAGGAGGAGGAGGAAGAGGAGGAGGAGACCCGGAAGCAACATTGGGGACCAACCTCAAATCAAAGATAAATCGGCACGTCCAACATCGAAATTCTGCCTACCGCAGGCGATGGCCTGTGCCAACAAATGCTTCCCCCCACCTCTGAAGAACAGAAGCCAGCAGATCCGAGGGGGAGGAGGAGGAGGAGGAGACGAGGAGGAGGAGGAGGAGGAGGAGGAGGAGGAGGAGGAGGAGGAGGGCGGACAGGGGGAAAAACTCGAGTGGTTCGAAGGGCCACCACGTGCCCAAGTGCTATCCCCACGCCCCTGTAAGGATGTGCACACAGCGCAGCCGCGCAGTGCGCGTGACAGACTCTGCCCCGGCAGGTCCTGGCGTATGACGAACGTCGCGGACTCGTCGGTGGCCCCCGCCTGGGCGACCAAAGAAGCAGAGAGAGTCTCACGCAAAGTCGTCGGTCGGACGACGGGGGGGCCCGTCGTAGAACAGGGGTTGAGCGAATCAGCTCACGCAGCCGTCATCTCTGGCGCCTCCTGCCGAGGGAGGAACCCGCACGACGAGGAATTGCGTCCACGCGGCGGGGCCGAAACCCCCCTGTTCCCACACACACACACACACACACACACACACACACACACACACACACACACACACACACACACACACACACACACACACACACACACACACACACACACACACACACACACACACACACACACACACACACACACACACACACACACACACACGAACACCCCCCTGACACACACACACACACACACACACACACACACACACACACACACACACACGCACACACACACACACACACACGTTTATATATATATATATATATATATATATATATACACATACATATGTGTTCGGCGTCTCGGCCCTGCGCGCGGCAACGGGGAGTAGAAAGTCGAGTGCAAGCAGCGAAACGCGCGCGTCTACGCCCGGCCGATCTCTGAGAGACCACCTCTTTAACTAGGGTCTCGCAGCCAGCAGCAGCCATAATGATCCGGGCCAGCATGGCGGGGAAGGACGGCGGGCGGACGAAACAGCGGTGGGGCGGAAGGCCGCCATCAGGCCATCCTGGCTGAAGGCGGGGAGAGCGAGTGACCGAGAGTGGGCCGACAGAGGAGCGCGTCAAGGAGCGACGGCGGAGAGCGTGCGGAAGGCGGCGGAGCCGCCAAGGCTCGGCAGGGCCGGGCGGCGCGCCAGGAGCGGCGGTGGCCAGGAGCGGCGGCGGCCGAGGCGCGCCAGGAGGGGGCGGCCAAGGCCAGCCCCGGCAGCAGGGGGGCTGGGCAGGGCGGGGGGGAAAGGGGGAGGGAAGCGGAGGCGGACAGAGGGCGGAGAGCGGTGGAGCGGTCCAGAGACCACAGGGGCCGCTGCGGCCTTAGGGCCCTGCAGGGCAGGGGCCCGAGGAGGCCGCGACCTCCCCGGCAAGAGGGCGGGCTGCGGCCGACGCCCCGTGGGGCTGGGGAGGGAGGCAAAGAACGCGCACAGAGGCCCTCCTCGAAGCAGAGCTGGCCGTTGTGAAAGGCGAGGTCCAGAGTCGGGGAAACGTGAGACTCGGGTACGGGGTACTCGGGTTGGCCTGACGGGGCCATCATAAAAATGACGAGACCCAATCTGAACATTGACGCGAACTCCCGCTGCAAACATCCCACAAAACCCAGACCGTCAAAACCAGGACGGGCTCGTCAAAAAACGTTGCCAAACCCGAGTTCCAGCTTACTCGAGTCTTACATTCCCCGACACATCAATAACAAACTGGGCTCTACTGCACGGTTTCCCCCAGGGCCGTAGGCGACCCGAGGAGGAGGAGGTGGTGGATGAGGAGGAGGAGGAGGTGGAGGAGGAGGAGGAGGAGGAGATGGCGGAGGAGGAGGAAGAGAAGAAAGAGGAGGAGAAGGAGGAGGAGGACGAAAAGGAGGAGGAGGAGGAGGAGAAGGAGATGGAGGAATAGAGGAGGAGGAGGAGGAGGAGGAGGAGAAGGAGGAGGGGGAGGAGGAAGAGGAGGAGGACGGGTCGCCTAAGCCCTTCGGAAAAACCCTCCAGGCGCCACCTTTGGCTCAAAGGACCGGGGCCCGTTCAACGCCACCTGACGTCCCAGCCGCTCCCGGCTGGGGGGCAGGTGCCTGCCGTCCTGCGAGGCTACGGGAGGCCTCCCAGGAGGGCCCTGGCAGGGGCCTCCGCAGGGGAGCAGAAGCGCGACAGAGCGCCACACACGCACACAAACACACAATAGGAGGCCACACGCGAGCCCTACCCCTACCCCACACGACTTCCGAGGGGAACGGGGGGGTCACTTCGCTCGGGAGCTCCCGAACGAAACCCACCCTCCCCCTCAGAGATCCTGCGGGGGTACGGGTAGCGTTCGCATGTGGCGACCGTTCACATATATATATATATACACACACACACACACACACACACACACACACACGCACGCACGCACGCACGCACGCACGCACGCACGCACGCACGCACGCACGCACGCACGCGCACACACACACACACACACACACACACACACACACACATATACACACACACACACTTTTTGCGTCGACGACTGGGCAGAGGGTGACTGCTCCAGCGGAAAGGCAACAGCGGACACGCTGCATGCAAATTAGGGCCGCAATGCACGGAGGGAGGAGGAGCCCCGGCACGACGGGGGGAGAGAAAGCCGGGCCACTCAGAGCTGCCGACTGCGGCGGAGGGAGCGCCGAGGTGGGAGAGCTGGACTGAGCTGAAGCTGGGGAGGCAGCACTGAGCTGCAACTGGTGATGGAGAAACACAGCCTGGCAAAACCCGGCCCGGACCAAGGCAACACACACACACACACACACACACCTCTCGTCGGCCCCGAAGAAGGACATGGCGACCCTGCGCGACAGCTTATGGGGTCCGCTGACGCGGCACGCTGCGGCACGCTGCGTCAAAAAATGGGGCGCTTACCGGCAAAAGATGGGGCGCTTCTGCGCGTCAGACCTTACGCGGGCCGCTTACGCGCGAATGTCAGCCCTTCTGACCCCCTGTTGCTTCTGCGCTGCTCACCTGCAGGTGGACCTCGACCTGCCCTGCCACGTTCGGCGCGCCACCAGTGACCTGCTTCCTGCTGTACCACTGCGTCTTGGACAGTGTCACCGTGGTGGTACTCGCCGCGACAGGACTGGCGAGAACGTACGCCTGGTCGGTCCACTGGTCGATCTTCTCCCACGGGGCCTCGGCAGGCGCGCCGTCACTCAGCACCCGGAGGCCCAGGAACTTGTCGGTCGTGTTCTGAGCGTGGGATCTAAGGTAGGAGCGCACCTGCACGACCTTGCCCTTCAGCCAGGAGCCAGAGATCTCCACCTCCGTGATGTAGGTGGTGCACGGCTTCCCGTGCTCGGGGAGGATGGTGGCCTTCAGCTCCACCTCTGCGGGCATGGCGGCGTTCTGGGGGATCCTCAGCAGGATGAACTCTCCCCCGTGGTTCACGTCGAAGTGTTCCCCCTGCAAGTTGACCAGGTGCGGGTCGCCCCTGGCAGCCACCGTTGGGACCGGAGTCGGCATGACGGCGGGCGGGGGGCCGATGCAGCAGCCACCAGTCCCGAAGCCAGTCCCGGCGTAGCCGTCAATCAGAGTGTTATTGGCGTTCGCGCCGCACTCCTCGTCGCACTTGTAGCCCGATTCGCAGATCGCGATGCCGCACCCGCACGGGTATGCGGTTGACAGGTCCATCCCGTTGGTGGCCGAGCAGGACGACAGCATCGCGTCGAATTGGCCGAACCCTTCGTTCACCCCGTGGTCCAGGACGAAGAAGGGCCCTCGCGTGCGGAGCAGGACCTCGTGCTCGGGCGAGAGGCGCGCGCCGTCGTCAAATCCCGCCTTCCCGGTGATGACCAGCCTCTCGAAGTGGCCAGGGTTGCGCGTCGACATTGTGATCGTGTCACCCACCGTCAGCACCACTCCGCTTTCGTCCACATCCTTGTTGATGAAGACGGTGTCGGCGCCCGCCTCGATTGGTCCGGTCAGGTACACTCCCCCGATGCATTGGTCGAAATCGCCGAGGTCCTCCTTGCCAGCAGGGCACTCGGTGCACACCTCCGAGCGGCGGCGCCTCGTCTCTCCTGTGGTGCATTGCTGCTGGACGCTGGTGCCCTCCGTCAAGAAAAACCCGTAGTCGGTCTCCTCCGGGCCCACGATCGGGTACGGGGGGAGATCGTCGGACAGCGACGAGTTGGCGCACTCCGCCTGGGTCATGCAGCCGTCCCCGTCTGCGTCCAGCTCGTCGAAGTGTCCCTTGAACTGCTCCACCTTTGATGGGCCTGTTTTCCCTGAACCACCACCAGAAGTTGGAGGGGCGAAGGAGGAGGAGGAGGAGGAGAAGGACCCCCTCCCCCTCCAACTTATGGTGGTGGCGGTGGAAAACAGGCCCATCAACCTTCTCCGACTCGCCCAGGAAGAGGCAGCCGTCGCCGTCCAGGTCCATGTAGGGGAAGACGCCGCACCCGGCCGCGTCGCAGGTGCACGGCGCCCCGCTCTCCAGGGTCGGGGCCGGGGTCGGAGCCTCCGTGGGCCGGCCCGCCGCCCGCGCGCGCTCCTGCGGCTCCCCGGCGGGGGCGTCCGCTGCGGGGCCGTACACGGACACCTGCACGAGCTGCAGGTCGGCCTGCGCTCCGCAGGCGAGCGCGAGCGCCATCGTGACGAGCGGCTGCGTCATGCCGGGCATGGCTCGTGCAGGGATCGGTCAGTTCGGTTTCTGGGAAGGGCGCCGGGAGAGCCTCCGTTGCAGCCGTCGGTCCAAGCCCCCACCCCTTCGGAGCGGGGGAGTCGGGG